ACACACACACACACACACACACACACACACACACGGACATACATTATGGACTATGCCCTCTATCATATCCTCAAAGCATCAGATTAAGGCGCAAAGAATTTGAAAAAATTAATTACGGGAAGAGCTATCGATTTCACAATCTGATTGCCCTCATGCTGCAAAAGTGCACCAGTCTGAGGGTTAAAAAAAAAAGCCAGCAATCAGATACATTCGCATTTCGATGAAGATGAGGTAATTCCTGTTGTGCACAACAAACGCCATCGATGCAAGAAGAATGTCAACAGTGCACATTTTCATTGTTATCGCAGATACTGTTATTGTGCAGTGCAACTACATGAAACAGCAACGTTTGTTGAGCAAATTCTCTTATTTGCCAAGAAATTAAACAACAACTTCTGTAGAAGATCGCAAAAACCTCTATTGGAAAACAAAATCCGAATAGAACAATGCAAAAATAAGGTTTTAACGAAAAGGAAAGACGAGTGGTGCAAACCCATTTGAAAAGTAGTCCCGCAACAGTTCCCGGGGGATTTCGCAAGGCGTTTGAAAATTATTGATGCCTCTTTTTGAGAATAACCAGAAGCATCACAGTACATGGCACTCACTGAAAACAAACATACACAGACAAAGACAGACATGTGCACACAGAGTGCACCCAAAGCGACTTGCATTTTTCAATAAATTTTAAACAGTGTATAATCCTTTTCCGGATAAAATTGCCAGATAAACTGGATGGCTTAGCCAACGCGAAATGAACTAAAAATTGAATTTCAAAAAGCGTTTCGAAAGAAAATAAATATCGAAGAACAAACACACCCACTCACCTACACATGCACACATACACTCACATATGTGCACACAAACACGCACCCACCCACATAGGGAGAGCTGGTGCAGCGTAGCCAAATAAGGAGAAGTGCAGCAGGAAAAGAGGCGAAAGATAGCGAGGCGACGTTGAATATAACGAAGTAACAATCCGGACTAGGATCCATCAACCAGTAATCCCGAACTTCCTGTACTTGCTTCTGAACCAAAGAATGGCCAGGTGAAATGAGAATTCTCATCGCCAATTAAGAAGCATTCGAAGGACCTATCAGAAAGAGCTGGTGTTAAGGTCTTTGCTGCAATAACAAATCCCTCTCAAGCTGCTCCGCGGTGAGCGTACCAGGCAACCGTTCACAGTGTGGATTGAAAACAGAATAGGCACTTAATTCGCCAGCCCTACGCTTCCCCAAATTGAGAAATATGCACACGAACAACGAAAGTACAAAGAAAACAAGGCCAAACTGAATGTACGAGAAGTATAACTGAAGAAGCAGCCACGACAGTGCTATGGATACGAGGCAGAGACGCGGGGCGCGCTCATACATCGATGACCATGGCCAGGAGGCCTGGATCGGCACCTGTACAACGCCTGTCGGCGCATCAACCTCTGCTGGCGAGACGGAAGGGCAACTGTCAGCATCCTTGTCCATCGCCGATAAGACCTGAAAAGAAGCGCTCGTAATAAATTATGGATCACTCATCAAAAAACATGCCCCAGTCGTGGAACCGGGAAAGCAGTGTTGCAATGCATGCGCGCGCGGCCATGGTTTTGCGGGGCCTGCAGATGGCCGGTGCGGACAGTTGAAAATCAATCCTGAAGAAGCGCCAGCACACTGCCGGAGCCAGTTCGAGGAGGACGCAGCTGTGCAGCAACAGCAAACAGAGAGCGAACATCCGAGCGTTTACTTCGATGCATCTCGCTGCCATCTCAAGCAAACAATCAACTGCTTGGCGTGCCGCGCTGCACTGTGCCCGTGCCAAATTCATGCCGCGTGTCTCTAATTTTTGTCGTGCATAGATGAAGTGCAGATTCCCGGAAGACGAGTGCAGCGCACCCACACTTATCCAATCACCGCACCAGATTTCGAATCCCAGCGCCCTCTACGCGAAGTTCCATACTTTTGGAATGGTTTCTCTATCGTGTTTTTTTTTTCTTTTTTCGAATTTCGCGTTTTTTAACACCTTTATTCCCATGCCCCTCCGGCTGACTTTCTTCTCTTCTGACTTCATTTTCGTGCACTTCCCCTCTTTCCGCATAGAAAAATTTAGCACGGTCGAGTCTGAGCACGAGGAAGCATAAATTTCCCGCAAAAAGAAACAAAGAATGTTTTATTCTCAACTCCCCTTGCCCTCCTTCCCTTCGTCCTAAAATTGACGCCAAAATTTTCGGTGCAAAAATGAGAAAATGAGAGTTGAGTGGCGCAAATATCAGCTAAAACGGTAAGAAATCCTATCAAAACAAATAAGTGCAAAATTCGAATAAGCTTAGACAGCCACACATTTTTTTTCCTTTTTTTTAAAAGTACAGTGAATAGCGAGTTCGCAATGGCTTTAGGCTAAAAATATTGAGTAGAATGGATAGCTTTCAAGCAGTCAATAAGAGACGCTCTTCCACTTCCTTTGCACTACCAGTTCCGTGGAATTGAACCAGAGACAAGCACAGAACAAGTCAATACAAGTTAGTGACAATCCACGGCATGGAGCGACGCATCGCAACTATAAGCAAACTACAGCGCTTCTCAGAAAATTCAAAAACATTCAACAAAAAAAAAAGAGGACCTAAACAGTAAATTTCCACACTTTCCAGTGCCGCACGAGGAAGAAAGGGAAATTCTGCGACAGTGCGAGAGGAAGCAGAAGCAAATTACTGATGGTAATCCAGGCAATATTAAAAGAACACAGGGAAAGCCGTGTACTGTGACGAAAATATCCAATTGATTGATTCCACTGAGTTAAGCATAAAACAGATAGAGAGGGATGGAGAAGTGCTGCGCCAGTGCTGGGGAACAAAGTCGATGATGGAATAACAGCTGATCGATGTGTGTAAGTTTAAGTGCAAATTCAACTAAAAAATAAAACCAACGGAATCGATTAAAAAGCAAACAGGGAGCTTAAAAAAGCAGAGGATTCGGCGCGCTGTGCAACCCTAAAAATGTCACCACGTTCCGAAACGGCGAGGAAGGAAATGGAAGCCAGGCACAAAAACCCAAAAAGACCCCCCCCCCTATTCCCCCGGAAGCCGAGCGAGTCACCGACTCAATTAGCTCAATACAGTCCCACAGCTTACAATCTGTTGCCATGAAATCTTAAGAATTCGTATAACTCCCCTACGGATGTGTTAATTTCTAGTGATTCCATTGTTTCAGCGACAAGCTACTTCATGCAATGCTGGCGCAACATGAGAATATCAGACCGTGTCCGGCGGCGGCGGCCTTCCAGCGTTCCTTCGGAACTGCGCCAGCCTCTCCTCCACGCTCCTCATCCTTCGCTCACCCGATCCTGCGTGCCACACGACTGCCAAACAGCACCAGGAGGTGAAAAACGCGTCCTTACGAATGGCCTGCCTTACATCGAGCCGACCCTCGATTCCTTGGGCAGCAAAACCCGACAGTCCGGAAAGCCGGAACCCACAGTACGCACCTCCCACGCCACCTGAAACACGTGCCAACCGGTAACAGAACAGCTTAACTGAAAATGTGCGGCGACGTGGACTGGAGGGGCGCGGTCCTGCTCGCGTATATTCTTTCGCTCGGGTAGTAGAAGGAGAGGGAGGGGTGCGCCAGCATTTTT